CTTCCCTTCCCTTTTCTTTCTTTCATTTCTCTTTTTTTCTTCTCTTTCTTTTACTTTCCCTTCCCTTTCTTTTCCTATCCCTTCCTTTCCTTTTTTTCTTTTTTTCTTTCTTTTTTATTTTTTTCTATTTTTGATATGAAATGTGCATGAGGCGTACCCCTCTGGCACACCTCATGAAAAACGCATAGCACCTAAGACGTATGCCACAGAGGTATCAGTGCCTCTAGCATATGCCTCAAGGCGTTTTGGGGGCACCTCTAGGCGTACGCCTCCCATGCCTTTTAAAACACTAGTTGGAAGACTCCTCTACTTGTTTATGACTAGGACTGACATTGCATATGCTTTGGGAGTCCTTAGCTTATGCATGCTCCCAAGACTACACACCTTGAGGCAGCAAACATAGTTCTCAGGTACCTAAAAAAATCCCTGGGACCGATTTCTTCTTTGAGAAGCATGGGCATATGAAAGTTGAAGTTTATACTGATGCTGATTGGGTTGGCTCAATGGATGACAAGAAGTCTACCAATGGGTATTGTACCTTTGTAGGTGGAAACCTTGTTAGTTAGAGAAGTAAGAAAGGAAGTGTGGTGGCCAGATTAGTGCAGAAGCAGAGTATAGAGCCATGGCTCATGGTGTTGTTGAACTCCTGTGGATTAAAAATCTGCTAGGAAAGTTGGGCTTTCCTCTTGATGGTCCTATGTCACTCTATTGTGACAATAAGGCTACCATCAATATTGCAACCAATCCAATGCTCCACGATAAAACCAAGCATATTGAGGTAGATAAACACTTTATCAAGGAGAAACTAGAGAAAGGAGAAGTGTGCACTCCTTATGTCAGTACTAAAGAACAATTTGCAAATGTTTTTCACCAAAGAATTGAATTCCTTGCAGCATTATGATCTTTGTGACAAGTTGGGGATGATTGACATCTATGCCCCAACTTGAGGAGTGATGTAATATGTTAAGCTTGTACTCGCAGGGGTATTCTTGTCTTTTTCCTTTCTTTTATATTAAGTATGGTCACCCTAATATATAAATAGAATGGTTGGTGCCGCCTGCAAACTTTTTTCTTCTCTCACATCTTTTCTCTCTTCTCTTCTTCTCTTCTTCTCTTCTTCTCTTCTTCTTCTTGGAAAACACTTACCAAAAGAAGAAAGAAAGAAAGAAAGAAAAGGATGAAAAAAGAAAAAGATCATGCACAATTAGGTTCTTTTTTAACCCATTCTCTTTCCATGTAAATATCAAAACCAAACTGGCAAGTTGATAGTGAGCAGCCTCAAATCCACTTAAATAATTACAATAATGATGATGATGATGTTCATGACAACAATGATAGAACTCCATCAAGCATTCTAAACTTCATGAAAACCAAATTTACAAGTTGAAAGAAATATTGCATGGAGACCCCACTTTTGGAGGGGGATTCATGAGTCAACATGTGTCCATAATTTGGCTTGTGTCCAACTGTCCAACATTTATCAGACTCAGCTACGGAGAGAATCAAGCAGATTTACCAAAATGCCGACTACACCAACTCTCTAAAATTACAAATCCTCACTTTAAATGCTTCTACCCAACATTGATCAAACCATTTAAACTCCAATAGGAAACTCTGGTATCTGTACATTCCCAATTTCTGCATACCTTATAACCGACTGTTTATTGGATCTTTTCTAATTAACATTTTTTTGAGAAAAAGTTAATGCATTTATTCTTTCATTCAATTTGACTCACTGTGTACAAGTATATTCCTGTACAGCGAGACACTATACAAACAGTGTATATTCTTTGTGACTCTCCCACCAATAACAACAAAAGCAAGGTAGCAGGATCAAAATAACTATGACAGGAAGTGTTACTGAATTGATCTGTTGCTTCCAGTCAGGAGTGTATGGTGGCCATGATCTTTCTGTGTAGTGCCCCCCCCCCCGGTGTGTTACTTTGATTCTGGAATATTCTCTGGTTTCACTCCTTCCATATGCACCAAGTGATTGCTGCTGTGATGGTATTCCACAGCTTCCTACCTTTCACATGAAACTATGAAAGCCCCTTAACTTCCAAGAGTGTACGGTGTAGGTGGTCTGTAAAGCTTCCAAGAAAACACCATGACAGGTTAAACAGTAGAGAGAAATGAGAGTATACACTAGTTTACATTTTAGAAGCAGGTGAAAAAATAATGCCACCACATGGATGATAGGCAGTCTGTTAGTTTAACTTGTTAGTTATAAATTGTAATTTAACTATAGAATCTGTTGTGCTTGTATGGTTCTATCAGTTTTCAGAATAATATTAAACCACTATGGAGACAGGTTTTAGTGCTTCTGGATCTCAAGATATATCAAAAGGTTAAACATGCAAATTGGATGGATGGAACTCCAGAATTCTATAGGTAATAAGCCCAAAAATGCCCCCAGAAGGATCTGCTTAATATCCTTGACAGGATCTACTTCGACTTCTCAAAACCTGATAGACGAACTTGACCCTTTCCCCTTCTAGTGTCTACTCATGTGCTTCCTTTTTCAAAGCTATTACTCAACATGCTGACTTGTTGGGGCCACCTTGTCCTGTTAAGGAGGTGTGGGGTAAGCCCATCCCTCCAAGAGTTGGGGGTTTTTGTTGGGAAGTCTTTCTGGAAAGAATCAATACCTGCATTTAATCCAAAGGAAAGAACCAATTGGTGTTTATCTCCTCATTGGTATTTTATGTGTAAAGCTAATGCAGAATCTTGCTTTCATTTATTAGTCTCTTGCCTGTTTGCATCTTTTATTTGGGAATGGTTTTTCTCATTGTCCGGGTGTAGGTGGTCTCCTCCAACGAATGTGCAAATCTTGTTTGCTTCTAACTTCTTTAGGTGGCCAACGAAAAGAGGAAGAGTGTTATGAAGATGTGTGAGGGCGGCAGTTAGCTGGTCCATTTGGGAAGAAAGGAACACAAGACTATTTTAAGGTAAGGAAAGAACTAGAGCGGTTGTTAGAAAAACAATCATGGTGAGAGTGATACATTATGTAAAATCTTTGGAGATATTTAATGCCTGTTCAACTAGTGATCTCCTAAATAGTTGGAAGGAAGTGGCTAATTCCAAGTACCATAAGTTCACTACAAGCCTTATTTGGTCTCCACCACTGAATGGCTATATAAAATTAAACTTTGATTGAAGCAGTGCAGGTAATCCAGGCCCCTCTGGTATTGGAGGGGTTTTTAGAGACTGGGAAGGCAAAATTGTTGGCCTATTTTCGGGTCCAATTGGAGTAGGTGATTCTTTAAGGGCCGAGGTGTTAACTGTCATGGAGGGATTGCAAAAGGCAAAGGACATGAATATAATAAAACTGATTATAGAAGGTGATTCCAAGCTGGTAGTGGAGTAGCTGCAGAGGAAGGACAAGGTTTTTGGGTTTTTAATAATGAAAATAAAAGGTTTAAGAGGTTGACACAAAATATGGATGTGAAGTTTAATTGGGTAAAAAGAACTGCAAATGGGATAGTTTACRTCCCCTATTCTTGTAACTGTTCTATATTACTTTTAATGAAATTCTGTTATTGATAAAAAAAAAAAGCATTAGAACTATCTCCATGCCAGTCTTCCCACTTTCCCTACCTGGCTAGATGAAATATGATTAGGAAATAGATTTCCAGAGGATAGCTCAAAGACCAAACCACTACCTTTGCAACCTTTCCTCTTAAAAACCCTTCTGGCATGGTTACAAGGGCCAGCTTCCCCATAAACCAATTTCCCAGCAAGAAAAAAGCTTTAGTGATATGGACCAAACAGGAATTCTTAGAACTCATGAATCTTTTCATGGTACAAATCCTCTTCAAATTCGACAAAGAATCTTCTGGAAGATGAAATTTATCCGCTAGAACAATCTGAAGTATAAGTCTTGATTTGCACCTACAACAGCCCAACCTTTTGGATATAAAAGTTATCGAATACATTTACACATCAAGATCACAATTGAGAGTCTAAAAAATGCCGATCCACAAATCAAACCTGCAAACGGCCTCTTCTTTGGTTTCCACACATGTCTGCTTTGAATTCAACATAATGTTGGAGATTTAGAGTTTCTTCTCTCTGGGAAACTTTCACTGGCAGTAAAGTTGGTCGATCAGAAGTTGGGTTGGCAGAATTATAATGTTTTTTGGTATCCTTGCCTTAATGATGTTTCTTCAACATTATGACAAAGTTTCAGGCCTTTAATGGTAGTTTAATTTTCGTAAGTATCATTCTCCTTCAAACCTATCTCCAATTATCATTGGTTCCTATTCAAGACTCTAATTGCCACTTGAACAATAACCCATTTTTTGGTTCACTTGGTCAGCCTACAAACAACATTGTATCACAATGTTCTTAAATCTTTATTAAGCCACGTCTTCTGGTAACCATTAAAATCCTTCCCAGCATTAAGTCAAAGACCTTTCGTGATAAAAGTCAGTATTGATATTGATCAAAAAAAAAAGTAAGTATTGGCAATTTGCATTTTACCAGTTTAGGTTCATTGCAAGTTAACCTAATTGTTTATAGTTTCTCTATTGGGATTCTCATTGATCAGTGTCATAATTCTTCTCTCCTGGCTGGAATGGTCAATGATTCAGGCCTTATCATCATTTTCCCACTTTGCCTTTTGAAAGGATAGAGGAAATAGATATATAATTTGAGAGAGCAACAGAACTTAAAGCCAAGTGCACAAACATTTGGCAAAAACAACAAAGAGTTAATGAACCTTCCAAAATAGTTACCAAGCTGACCACCAACCAACCACAAAAATGTTAAGCGATAGATATGATAATAATGTCTTGCGTTCCAATATGCCACCTGTGGAACAATAAGGATATCTTTTTGATGTATTAAAACTATCGACGTATATAAAATCTACCAAGTGACAAGTGAGTATTAATTTAAACAATGACCAATCTAAGCAATAACAAAGTCATCCAGTTTTAAAAGCAGAGACACAGACCGCTTGCATTTGATTACCAAGCTAATAACGGTGCACAGGGAAAAAAACAACAGGAAAATGATGCATTCACAACCATATTTCACATCAATAAGCACTAGCAGGAACTTAATAAAGAGCTTGACAATGCATGGCTCCTGCTCAATCAATTTTCCTAATGAAGATCCACACACACAAAAGTTACACCTGTAGTAAAATATTCCACTTCATATTTCACATTGATTCAACAAATCTCCTTAATGAAAATTCAACCCACTAATTAACAGAACAAGGGAAGAAGGCGATAGTACTCTAAAAGCTAATACCAGCAATGATGGGCAATGCTCAACCAACTTCAACCTAGGATTATTTTCATCGCAACCTATTTCTCGTTTCACTTTTCAAAGACTCCGATGGTTCATTCGCCAGCTTAACTAACTGTAATACTTAAAGCGTAAGTGGGTTGGACATTACCGGCTCTTGAGTGTTCATCACATTGTAGTACTCCAAACCTGTTAAAACAAACACACCACTCTAAAAGACGAGAAAGAGAGAGAGAGAATATGGTAAATAGAAACCCTACCAAAAAAAAAAACATACGCGGGAATTCGCTTCAACAGAGGATGTCCTAAAATTGTCATTACAATTAGTTGAATATGGTAAATCTATAGTGTCCTAAAATTATGATACCGCCACACTCAAAACCCTGGTGCTTTTTTATGAATAATACCACCCAAATATGTTGCCACTTATGATGCTTGTTGATTGGTTATAAGTTCTTCCGTATCATAATCCAACCGTGGTGAAGCAAACGAGTTCGAATCTCCTGCCCACAAAAATCCTATACACGTCTATCCACATAACACTACAAAAATCCTCTACACGTACCCACAAAACATTACTGTACATTGAGAACATCTTTCAATATTTAGATAAAATATTGAACCCATAAAATCAGCCCCTCACAATGTCTTACATCACATCCTCATCATGTATTGAAAACATTTCCGGATGATAATACCAGAAATGATGATATATTAATTGAGAAATATTCTCAATACACSATAGAGATGTGATGTGGGACGTTATTCGGGACTGATTTGAACTCGTTACATGTTACCACTCATGGGGAAATGTTCCCAATGTACAGTTTTGGTATCATATGGGCAAATGTATATAGGATTCTTGTGGGCAAAAGATCCAAAAGACCCACAGATTTTTTTAGGAAAAATTTTTTATTAATACTTGTAATCTGTGTCAATGCCACTTTAGTCTCAAACTTTAAAATATGATAATTCAGTATCTAAACTTTAAGTAATATTTAAAAAAATACAAATGTCCTTAAAATGTCATCTAAGTTTTTTTATCAACTATCTCAACTTGCTTCCATTCAAGAAAATTGAAGTTAGTTATATTTGATTGGATATCCATAGTTGATAACACTCGAAATATCATATCTTTTTAAAATGTCAATTAACAACTTATTAACAACTAGAATTGTCACATTTTGAAAATTTAAATACTGAATTATCACACTTTAAAGTTTAGGGACCAGTGACACTAAACCAAAGTACAACGTACTAAACAGGAATTTTCCTTCATAGCTGGCGAAACAATTCTCAGACTGGGCTGAACTGTCATTCTCCCTTGATTTTATTGAAATACTGAAATATTGAAGCCAGAAAAATTACGTAGATTATATTCAAAATACAGAATACGCTACGTGTTCAAGACGCCCTTTCATAACGTACGCTGGTGGCTAAAGTCCAAGTGTCGAAACCATCAATTCACTGTCCAACGGCGCGTTATCACTCGCAACCCGGACCCACCGCTCAAACATGGCAACCCCAAGGGCGAATGGAACTGCTCCCGAGTCGTGATAAAATCTGTCCCAACACCGTCTAAGGAGGATCTGTGTCCGCACATCTCACCGTGAGAATGGACCCACTGTGAAAAGGGGATGAAGTTGGATCGTGTGGAACAACTTTTTGTGGTGAGCGGATCCACGCCCGCGCGGAGGATTCTTTAGTCAACACAAAAAAACAGATCACGAATAAATTATTGTTTAGACGGTATTTGCAAGCACGAGCCAAGTATAACGTGCGCAAGTTGAACCGGTAATTGCCAAAAACGTTCAAAATCTGTAACGACGAACAAGCAACAGTAAAGAAAATGCTAACGTGAACCAAGAGAACCATCGAAGAAACCCAAGACACCTCAGCAGCTGATCAGTTGGAGAAAAATAAAAGAGAGTCAATTGATTCTAATTCATCAACATATCTCTGCATCACGGTGAGTACAAAGCAGGGAAACGATCAGAGTCGTCCATTTCCCTTACTCAAATTACATCTAAATTTCTCTAACTCGCTAACAGAACAAATGGAGGCCAGAAAAGAAATTTAAAATTAACAAAAAAAGAAGAGAAAAAGAAGAGGAAGAGATGCATTGTTGTACAAATCCTGTTAACTTTTTTTTTTCTTTCGGGCATGAAAACACCCCCCAAACTCATCCACGCATTTACAAAACTACCCTTGACTGAACGCGACATTCCTCATCACTTCTTGGCCTTTCTCGCCGGAGCTTTCTTGGCCGGCGACTTCACACTCTTGGGCTTCTTCACGATCTTGGCGGTAGWCTTCTTCGTCGCGGCTGGCTTTGCAGCTGGTGCCTTCTTCSCTGGAGTAGCTTTTGCCGATGTCTTGGCAGCCTTGGCAGGTCTGGCGGCTTTAGGCTTCGGCTTAGCCGCTGGCTTCGGTTTAGCAGCTGCCTTTGGTTTCGCGGCAGCTTTCGGCTTAGCAGGGGCAGCTTTAGGTTTCGCAGCGCCCTTTGGCTTAGCCGCAGTCTTAGGCTTAGCTGCCGCCTTTGGTTTGGCTGGTGCCTTAGATTTTGCACCTGCCGACTTCTTGGCAGCGGGAGCGGCTGCTGGCTTCTTAGCGGCGGGAGCGGCTGCAGGTCGAGCTGGCGGGAGCTTGTAAGAATTCTTGACCTTGACGAGCTTCCCAGCAGCAACAAGTTTCTTCAAGTGGAAGAGCAAAAGCTTCTTGAAGTTGGGTGGAAGGTGGGATTTCTGCTTGTCCTCGATGAACTTGGTGATGGCATACTGACTCGAACCAGTCCTCTCTTTCAACGATACGATCGCCTCCTTGATCATCTAGGGTTTCAAATAAACGAACACAGATCAGATCCAAAGAAAGTAATATAGAAGGCTATATGGATTGAAGACGAAATGAAGTGAACAGATGAAATTATTGAGTTTGGTATCTTACCTCAATGTAAGGAGGATGAGCGGGAGGGTTCCTGGGTTTCTTTGGACCGGTCGCCTTCTTAGCTTTAGGCTCCTTCGGCGCCTTGGCCTTCTTCGGCTTCGAAGCTTTAGCTGCCGGTTTCTCTTCAGCCGGCTCGGTCACGGCGGGGTCGGTGGTAGCTTCCGCGGCGACAGTAGGCTCTTCGGTAGGCGCCATGGCTGGTGTGAGAAGCAGATGATTGAGGAATAGGAATTAAGATTAGGGATTTGAGGGAGAAATGGGAGATCAGCGAAGGAGAAGATAGATGAGAATAAATGAGAGATCGGCGGTTGTGCTGGATTTTTCGTTGATAAGCAACGGAGAATGGAGGACGGTTTAAATACGCACCGGGTCGAGGCGATAGCCAAGAAAGCGAAAGCTGATTGGTCCACAGCCCTTTCACTCGGATCTCCAACTTTGAAAGTTTAAATGTGGACCTTTGGATTAATCTTTATCGACGGTTCACACGGTCTATATCGATGAGGTTTGGATGGATTCTAAAGGAAATGGAGGTTTGGGGTGGGTTTGGTTGTGCTTTTCACCTCGATTTCTTTGAGTGTAACTCGAGTTTTACTGAACGAAATTTAGTGGGGTTTGGCTTGATTTGTAGCTTGGGAGCTCAGCTTTCCAATGACTATTTAATCTTTTTGAGATGTTGAGGAGTCTAGGAGAAATTTACTTCCAAACCTGCATTGGTCTGGAATAGGGTTTAGCATGACTTGATTGCAGTTTAAGGGCATTTTAAGAGAATGTTGGGCACTAAAATTGGATTTTTTTGTTTTAATGGATTCTAATTTAGCAAATAAACACATAGATTCAAGAATTGTGAAAATCGGATCAGAAATGGTCATAGAAGTTTGAGCTATAAGGTCAACAAAGTTGAACAGGTTGGGATAGGATGTATATGTGTATTTGGGATTTGATGAATTTGGTGTTCTTCAAACCTCAATTTCTTTGGGCCTAATTTGATCTATAAGAAATGGTTTGTTGTATAGTTTTTCTTAGTTAGTAGGTTAGGAACTAAGCTTCCAAATTAGTATTACCGAGAATTATGAAACTGAGTCGTCATGGAGAAATTCATCTCCTAAATTACACTAATTGGGTTTTAGGGTTTCATAGAACCCATCATAATTCCATGGAACTTGAAGAAGATTGTAGACACTGGAATAAGTTTTTTATGATCCAGTGTAGGCATAACTTGGTAAATGAAACTACCATTTCAAAGATTTGCACAAATCTGAACAAAATTGGATATGGGATTCTTGATCAAAAAAAAGGTGGGTGAATAAGTTCTACTATTATATGCTATAAATTGTGACATCATGTATGGAACTTGAGGAGAACAAATATCATATAGATCATATGAAAATCATTTATATACTTAAGAATAATTTTGGTGCTGTTGCATATTCATGTAAGATGCATGTTATTGTTAAAACATAGTACATGATTTGGATTTTTATCAAATATCACTATTCCATTGTTCCACACAAAAGCATGACTTGCAATGGTGCTTTTTACACACTATAAACCATTAAAAACATGTTTATTCAWTACTTTCTTCCCATGATACAAGATTTGCAGTACATTCTTATGATGAATTCGATTTATATTGTTTGTAACAGTTGAAAGGCAATCAATCAATAATTTGCCCATACAAGAAATTTAAACAAACTTGTCATCCAAATCTATATTGATAAACAATGAAAGTGCATCCATGTTAACATGAGGTTAATTTCTTCATGCATGTTAGTTATTAACATGTAATTTTGTAGTCTAACCATGATACCGGAAAGGCATCATAGTTAGGGAAAAAATAATAACCTATCAAATGTTAATATAAATGTGGCAACCAATCAGATGGCATTCATCAAAATTCACAAGGGGTCTGATTTGTCAAAGCTACCATACCTATTTTTTTGGCATCATAGCCAATCTATACATGAATTGATGATGACCTATTTCATCTTGTATGGACAAATGGTATGAGTGCAAGGACGGTGATACATTAGCTAATACAATATTCTTAAAAAGAGGTTTCAAGTAAATCAATGTAAATGCATTTGTGGGTCAAATCAAGTGAAATCAATTTATTCCCACCCTCCTTGGAAATGGGTAAAATCAAGTAACCATGTTGAAGAAAGTATGACCAAATTAATTGATCAATACACTTTTACACCTTGGTCTAATGGCTATTCTTACCAAGCTAAATACGCTTCCATTGTAACATGCTAGATTGCAAAGACACCAACTTCATAATATAAAACTAAGTGCATCTCATTCAATAAAGGGTCAACGTATTGATACATACCACACCATACCATATAATACATATCAGCTTCCAATATCACCAATATGTCAAAGACAACGATTTATGGCAAATAGCCATATTCAATGGTTAATACTTTTCTCAAGGATGTCATTGTTGAAATAAATTAAAGCAATTTAATCCATGAGTATCCCCCATTCATGACAAAGAGACACAATTCATGTTTCTACTCTTGATTACAAGCATCCCACTTACAATCTTATAATGTAATAAAGAAAAATGAAGCATCAATTGATGGTCTATTTGGTCCATAGCCAAAATTTGAATCAAAATCATTGAGAATCGGAATCAAAATGGTATACTCTTATAGTTTGTTCGGTTCAAACATAAATGGGAATGAAAATTGGAATCAACAATAATTGGATTTCATTCATAAGGGTGTGGCAAGGAATGGCCATTCCCTCAAATTGGGGAATGCCATCCCAACAGGAATGGTAATGGGATTCCAATTACRTCCAACCAAACAGTTTTAAACATAGCTTTGTGGTTATTTAAGTATAATTTATTCTTCAAATATAAAATACATAAATAATATTATATTATAGTTATATGTAATAGTATTATAAGAATTGTGGGGAGTCAAACCAATAACATCATGTAAATCTTTAATAGCAAAAGGGCAGGTGCCATGCTTGTGTGCCAGTAAATAAAAGGAGTCTGACTTCTATCAAGGCACGGTGCATACGTGCACCATTCGTGCAAAAGGAGGACGCGCCACATGTCTTTTATTCTGTATACCCACTTAAAGTGTGCGAGGCAAAGGAAACGACATTGATAGGAGATATCATTAGACTCAATTCGGGGGGGAGGGGACTTGTTCTTTGCCGCCTCACACCAAACCCTGTTCACTCTCATCCTCTCCAACCAGCGGTGACCAACAACAATCATGCTAACACCAACAATTGGAGGAAAAAACTCAAGTATTGATTTTTTTTTCATTCATTTTCTTTCCCAAACATTACACCAGGTATTGCATTTCCTTCATTTTGTTTTCCCCAAAACCTAAATCATAATTTCATCTTCTCTACTCCATCCACTCCTAGTTACAAGTACATAATGTTTTCCAAAAGATTTTGGGCATTCATAAATCTTTCAAATGAATGAATCATAATACATATTTTGTATATGAAAATCTTTTTATAAACTACAATGGTATATGATTCTAACACTGCGGTGATTGTCTCTAGTGGTAATGAATATAGTAAGCTTCCTTTTGTACAGTCTATTGTTGTACAAGGATTTTTGTTTGAGAACTAATTAATTTACTTTACATTTGGAAATAATATGTACATACCTGATTGTTGCCGGTGGCCAATATCTAGTGAAACATTCACAGATTATGCTGAGATAGTGAGTAGCATCTAAATCGGTTAGGATTATATTTTTCAATACCTGGTGCAATGTTTGGGAAGAAAAAAATGAAAAAAAAAGAAGAATCAATAACTGAGATTTTCCTCTGGTTGCCAAGTTAACAATTGCCGATGATGGTTGTTGGTTGCTGGTTGTCGCCGGTTGGAAAGGGAGAGAGTGTGAGTGAACAAGGGTTCGGTGAGTGGTGGCAAAGAGCAGGTTTTCGAATGGAGTCTATTGGCATCTCCCATCAACACCGTTTTCTTCGCCTCGCAYGCTTTGAGCTAGTATACAAAGTAAAAAATGTACGAAATGTCCTCCTTTTGCGCGAACGATGTGCGTATGCGCTATGCCCTAATAGAAGCCAAACTAAAATAAATGAAGATAACATAATGAAATGACATTAAGATTTCAATTGGTTTTTTTAATTGTACTTCATTAAATGTCTCAATTCATTGTTTAAATTAAAAGATTAAAATACTTGGAGAACTACAGTTTGCAATCRTTTACATTATATGCAAATATTAAAACATTTTCATTTGACATTTTTTAAATGGACATGAAACCAAGGCAACTGTTAGCATTATATAGTGATAGTGAATACAGAAGTATTTACTATGAATATAATGGCTTGGATTTTCAATATAAAGCATTGATACATACACATTTCATTCATATGAAACAAATAGGGTTGTAAAAATCAAGCTCCAATTACATTCAATTTGTGAAAACTTAACAATGCATTATACCATACAAGTAATCATAATTTCAAACTGATTTGCTAATAGAAATTCTATGGTTATAAGTTTATTGTAGTCTTGAGGCTTCACCTTCCTTCATTTAAGTATCGCCAAACTTTGAGTGGTTTAATATTTTTAAATCACCTATCTTTACCCTCATCTAATTATAAGTGTTAATGTTTGTTAAGTTTATATTACAATAACCTTGCAACCCAAGGAAAATTATATGGAAAAAAGATATGGTGTAGATAGAGAGAGAKATATTTTTTTAAGCCATAAAAAATAACTAAATTCTATTAAACTTGAAGCAACAACACATTCTTCCAATTGGATTAGAACAAAAGACCATGTAAAGCAAGTTGGACTATAAATTACCTCCATCAACATTTACCTTGATAGTACCTATTGGTGGGGGAAGTTCAGTAAACATGAGGGGTCAAAGGAGAGTTATATCCCCAAGTGTGGTTGAAATTAGTTGTGTGTCAGTCTAGCACTTTAGTTCATTGCAATATGAAGATGCAAGTCTTATAAATCTTTAAGGGTTAAATACATCATGGACAAACACCACTCCCTAAGGGGGGGGGGGGAGGGAAGTTAGTTAATCATAAAATATTAATATTACATGATCACCAAGGCATTATATTATCTTGACAACTAAAAGCTTTTTGCATGTGGGCATAATGAATAAGGGAAGAGGCAAGAGAATATCACTTCTTATTATAAATCATAAATTTGAAATAAACAGTCAAACACTTTTCCCCAACAAAAGATGAAAAACAAAAACGAACTAATCAAGACTAGCTTCTTGATTTGGGTTAAATTGTTCACAATGTTACGTGGCCCTGATTTGAGTATGTTTCCCCTAAAACTCATAAGTTGGTAAAAAATCATTAACTATATAAAAAACCATCA